GACCCGGGAGCGGCTGCGGGCGGCGGCGTGGGGCGCGCTCGCCACCGTCACGGTGCGGGTCCGGCTTCAGTTCTTCCCGAGCCGTCCCCGGGGTGCGAAGTGCTGGACGTGCTCCGCCGAGGTGACGGGCCGGGGGGCGCAGCCTGGCTGCGGCGGAGGTTTGTGGATCCCGGGGCGGGGGGTGGAGGGAGTGTTGGGGGGAGGTGGAAGAGGGGGCGCCGGTCTCTGGCTTATTCACTCCATCCTTGGGCACAGGGTGGAGCATCTCCACCAGCGGGCTTTATTTAGTCATTCATTTACTCAACTAGCTTTTATTGAGCGCCCACTGTGCGCTCGGCGCTGGGGATCCCAAGACAGCTGTGTTCACTGGAGGCTCTAGCATCTCGTAGGAAAAGTGGGTGGTCGCCTCCTCAGTCTCAGGGGCTCCATACCCGGGAGGGGCTCAGCCTGGATGGCCTGGAGTCTTTGGGTAAGGAAGGAAAAGAGAGCTAAGTTCTTTCATTCATGAATTGGACAAAGATGGGTTGAGCACCTACTGTGTGCTGCTCACCGTGCCAAGTGCCCAACATATTATTTCATTCATTTAACGAACAGTTACTGAGGCGCTGAGCTGAAGGAGAGGGATGGGATGGGGTGGAAGCATCTTGCAGCTTAGAGAGAAGTAGGGTTTAAGCCCCAGCCCTTGCTTTGAGGGGGCCCCCGGCCTGTGGGGTGGCTGACTGCAGCAACCCCCAGGTGTAGAGGCAGAAGCAGAATGGCCTTTTCTTGGTTCATGTAATGCAGTCATTCTCAAAGAGAGCGGGAACGCTGGAATAGGTTCTTGGATAGGAAGAAAATGTCTTCAAAAAGCTCCTTAGGGGAGGCTGACCATGGAGAAGGGGTGTTGAGAAATACTTCTCTAAACTTACTGATGAATGCAGGCTCCCACCAATAATGGTTTATTAAAGTTGTCTGTTCAGCAGGCATTTTCTGAAGCACTTAAAGGGTGCCAGGCACCAAAGTCCCCCAGAGGATGAGACAGACACGGAGACCCCTCCTTCGCTCATACCTTGAAATAAGGGCAGGGGGAGGCGCCATGAGGGAGCAGGAACTGCTCTGATTCATTGGGCGGGGGGGGGGTGGAGGGGCTCCTGTTTCGATAAGTCTGAGCAGAGGTTTATTCACTAGGGTGTGTCTGATACCCCCACACATGACTACAGTCAGAGTCACTGTGGGGAGCAAGTCTCCGGGGGAAGTTTGGCCAATGCTGGGGCCAGGGGACACTGTGGGTCATGTGGCCGGGGCCCGCTCTCTTTCTTGAGTGGATTTCTTGGGTTCTCCGGACCTGAGCTTGGCCCCGGTGTCCTCTGTCCCGGACCTCTGCAGAGGCCCCTGCTGAGTGGGGGAGTGAGGGAAGGTGTGTCTGAAAGACAGGCTAGGATGGCCCCTGGGGATGGCCCTTATGGGTCATTCCCTAACGCACCCCATTCCAGTGGAAAGATGTCTGTCGCGGGACACACTCCAAACCCGTGGGGAGCTGTGAGTGGGCTGGACACAAGGCAGCCTTGATCCCTGTCCCAAAGTTTGAGAACGCAGGCTGGGGGCACCCTGCAGCCTGGTCAGGACAGATGTGGGAGCCAGGCTCCAGTCCCGCAGCCGCTTTGAATTCTCTGCGTCGGACACACAGCTGGGCCCCTGGCAAGAGGTTCGACTGATGCCCCCAGGGAACGTGAGAGCAGAGAAATGTGTCCTGGATGCAGGGCTAAGACACTCAAGCCAGAACGAAGGAATTAATAATCCCCTGCACCCCTCAAAAGTGTCTTGACTGGGCTGTCCTTTCTCCACCTCCCCTTTCTGAATACATGACGAAGCGTCAGCATTTCCGGTCGCCAAAGACATAGGGGTCTGGGAATCCACTCTTGGTTGATTTATTAAACCCAGAAATGGAGTCCCTGGGTGGAAAATGGTGGCTGGAAAAGCCGCTCTACATAGAATGAATAAAAAGGGAGAGGCAGGGAAGGCTAGCCTGCAAGCACTCAATCACTATGGGCCATTTTGATGATATAGCAGACAGTCCATGGTTAACAAAATCAGAACACAAAGTAACGTGCCACAGACAGGATCTGCATCTTGCCTCGGATTTGTCCCTGCTCTGTGGTGACTTCGCCTCACACCTGCGTCTCCCCAGGCAGGCATGTACATCCAGGCTCCCCCTCGTTCCTCACTGGGCTGCCAAGGCTTGCCGCAGACACTGCAGCCTTAACACTTACTAAGGAAAAAGAACGGAGGGACTGCGTATGCAGGTGTCCCCTTCCGGCTGCCCAAGGTCCCCGCTGCTCCCCCAGCCAGTTCCTCCGCTAATGCCTGCGGTCCCAGGTTTCCCGCTGCAAGGAGGCAAATAGAAAAGGACCCTTGGCTCCCACCCCAAAACACCGCCTGGTAGAAGGCAAATGTGCATTTGCTGTTATTTTGCCAGAAGCAAACTAAGGAGGCTCCGGAGGCCACTTGGTCTTTTTTATGGGGGGAGGGGGGAGACCCCGGCACATTTTCTTTTGGGGGGCAGGTGGCAATGGAGGGAAAAGCCCGGCTCCCAGCAAATACGTCACTATCACCAGTGTCTTGGGCCCCAGCTCTCAAGAAGCAGGGCTGAGATCCATCCGGCATGGTTGCATGGCGATGAGGATGGACAGCAGGGAGCTAGGAAAGACAGATTCTCCATGCGGGTGACGCTGGGACCTGGGCCAGCCTACTGGCTGGATCCATTTTGATCACAACGTTTTAATTGGGAATTAATGCAGCATGACCTGCCTCTGAGTCGGCCCAGCCAAGAGCCCTACCCCTGACAGATGAAGCCACAGTGGCAGGGGAAGGGCAGCGTGGGGAGATCTCAGAGTGAGGGAACGGCACAGGCTGAGAATCGTGGCGGGAGAGGAAGAAACCAAAGCCCGAATTGCTCAGGAGAAAAATGCTTTTCTTTTAGGAAGTTGCCTCTGAGCTTGTGTTCGTTCCCTCCTGCCACGATATTAGCTCCAACGTAGTGGCTTAATGCAACGCCAATTTAGCATCTTACAGAATGGGGGATCAGAAGTCAAAAATGGGTCTCCCTGGCCTAAAATCAAGGGGTCGGCGGGACTGTGTTCCTCCTGGGGGAGAATCCATTTCCATGCCCTTTCCAGCTTCTAGAACCTGCCCGCACCCTTGGCTCCTGGCCCCACATCACTCCAACCTCTGCTTCCACCATCACATCTGCTTCTCCTACCCTGACCCTCCTGCGTCCCTCTTTAAGGATGCTTGTGATTATATGCGGGGGGCCCCCCTGGATCATCTCCCCACCTCAAGATCGTTGATTTCATTCATCACACCAGCAAAATCTCTTTTGCCATGTGAGGTCACACATTCTCAGGGTCTGAGGATTAGGACATAGACCTCTTTGGGGGCCCATTATTCTGCCTACCACAGGGGTGTGCCTCATCAGTTTATGTTACAGATGGGGAAATTGAGGCCCAGCTGAGTGAGTGACTTGACATCAGTGCGGGGTGAGAGGAGAGCCAGCACTGAAGCCCCCCTTCTGGAAAGTGTTTTCTGCCTCACAGTCCTCCTCTAAGAAAGGAAATGCGAGGGGAGGCGCCAAGCTTGCTACCCAGAAGCCATTCCAGCAAACACAGGGCCCTAACATGTGAAGACACAGCTCCAAGCACTTACAAGCAGGTGTGATGATGACCCCAGTTGATAGCTGAGAACACTCAGGCACAGAGAGGTGAAGTCATTTTTGTAAGGGTGCACAGCCAGGAGGTGGGGAAGCAGGCAGGCAGCTGGGCCCAGAGGCCACCCCCTCACCTCTGACCGGTGTTTACAGCACAGGAGGGCTCTTCTGCCCGGAGGCCAAAATGGCAACTCAGAATTTGACAACACCAGGGCTTTTGTTGATTTCTTACTCTGCTCGTGTGCAAATACACACTAGGAATAAACGTGTTTCCCCCAGCCATGGGCAACTGCCTGCTTCTCCCCATCACGAAAGACTTTCCAAAAGCTTGTCCCTAGACATAGAGAGGAGAGATCCAGTCCCTAGCTTGCTGCCGGTGGTGGAGACCTCCCCCTTCCCCTGGGAACCAGTAATCCAGGGAGACGGCAAAATGCAGAGGTCAGAGAGTCCTACGGGTGTAGATTGATTCTGGCTTTATCGCCTATATCACCAGAGTCCTGAGTTTTTATTTATCAAAGCCTCGATTTCTTCGTCTATAAAATGGGGGTGTTAGTGGTGATGCCTGGCACGGCTCCGTGGATTAAGCCTTTTAGCACAGCACACAGCACTTAGTACGCAGTTAAGGGTGGCTGGGATGGTTGTCGTTATAGCACCCAGAGAGTGTTCAGCACTGTCTCCGCATCCCCCCTCCCCCTCTCAGAAGAGGGACAGAGAGCTCCGTCCCAAGGGAGGGGCACAGGACTGGAAGAACAGAGTCAGGCGAGACCCGGGGCTTGTTAAGGATCAGTGCACACCGGTTTATGGAACCCGTTCATGACCTTGACGGGATGTGGCCCTGGCCGTGAGCTATTGGGCAGCACTGCTAATCCCTGCAGCAACCCCCCACTCACCGGATCCTCCCAAGAGCTCTGTGAGGTGGGCACGCTTCTCCCACTTTACAGGGAGGAAAGAGGCTCGGAGAGGGCCGGCGAGTCGGCGGGTGCCGATGGCTGTCTTAGGCCAAAGGGTCATTAGCAGGAGCAGCTGTGGTGGCCAGGCCAGCCTGATCTGGACCTTTGTCCCATCCCGCTCTCCCCTCCTACCCCCACTCCCAGGTCTAGCACCTCCATTCGCAGCAGATGCTGACCACACAGCGGCCTCTGCCACTCAGAACTCCTTATGGTTTGATGACCGTTTATCTTTGGAAATGATACTCAACCCTCCGTCATAGCTTGTGCACATCATCTTTTTCCCAAGGAGAAGGAAAAGAAGTTGCATGGGGAGTTTCAGCAGATCTCTGGGCTCCCAAAGGGGAATTGGATCAAGGCGGCCCCAGTGCAGAAGATTTTTCTCTCAGAACGGAAGGGTTTCTCCTTCTCCAGTGAAGTTCCCCAAGATTGGGACCCACAGAGCTTTCCAGAACCCCCAAAGGGGTGGAGAAGTTGGTCAGAGGGCTCCCCACCAAAATCCAGAGCAGCTCTTGCAGCCCCCGGCCCC